AGATGTTTAACTGTTATCCTTAAAGTAGGGGTTTATTTATTTTACCATTGATGGGATTTTTTTCCAGCATCTGCCTTTGCATTTGCCTTTCTAAGCAAGACTTGTAGTCTCAATGGGCTCCCAAATTGATGTAAATAGCTTTCCTACAGGGCTTTTAGTGACAGCATTGACGAGCAGAAACGATCATGTTCGGGTATCGTATGCATGTAAATTTGATCCACATGTAACAATATTGATCCAGTATACCGATGAGGAATTGATAAATATCCCCAAGGGGTGACTACAAACATATCTGGGGCCTGTTCCTTTGTTTACATGGCCCCTACCCTGCGGAATTCCCTACTTCATAAAAAAAATGCCTTACCTGTTTAACCTGGCTTCTACAGGCAAAAATCACATTTCTTCCGCAGATTGTAAGGTTGTAGATAAATACCGAGGTCGCGGTCTGCTAGCCACAACAGGGCTTCAGGAGAGATTTGGTGTAGGTGTTGCTATCCCTCCTCCATTGCAGACGACAGTGGTTCACGATTTGGCCCAGTGCTTTACTATGTTGATGGTATGGTTGTCAATTAACCTGATTATAATGATTATAATTGGATGGTTTTACAGTTTTAATAATAATTTACACACAGTGGCCTTGGTTTTATGAAAGGCACCTTCAAATAAAGCAAGTTTGACCGATTGGGGATTGATTAATAGGCGTGGCACAGGAGGAACATTTCTAAAATAATTAGTGTGAGGTGACCGGGGTGGCTCAGGGTGTCAGAACGGTGAGCCGGAATAACCGAGATGATGGGACACAAATCCAGAGAGCCACCGCTGTTATATGACGTTAGTATGTTGAACTTCTTTCATGCCGTACGTAGCCAAACATGCTAATTGAAGGTAAGGGTAAAGGACAACAAACTAAACACAAAAAAGCAGTTCGAAAGAAATTAGTTTTCAATCTAGATTTTTTAAATGCATAGAGCTCCAGTGGCTTCCGCATATCGGAACAGCATTCCAGACGGCCGCAGAAGCGCACCTGAAAGCGTGCGACGCAGTGACCGCCCTTGTTCGACGGTCAGCCAAAAGCCGCTGCTGCAAGGCTAAACAGCTGCAGCGAGTCAATCGACTTAGGACAGTCACCAAGACTACACAAACGTATTTATAATTCGTTCAGCACTTAATTTTAATAAATTGTATTTATCTTTCCGACTCTATTCCACTGTTTTGAGACTGCCAGCGAGGATGAGGGTCTATCCAATGCTTGAATGCAATTTTTAAATCCTTTATATTAAGTTCACTTGCTTGCTTGCATGCTTGCGTGCTTGCTTGCGCGCTTACGACCGTGCAAATCTTTCGGTCGTTTTTTTAACCCACTTCCCGTGATCCAATCGAGCTGACATTTTGCACACAGACTCGTTGTGCTTGACAATTATGTTTATTGAAAATTTTTTCCAAAATTTGACACTGTTTAGGGAAAAAAAATATTTAATTACCAATTGCTTAATTGTGGCAGACAATCATTTGACCCATAGGTGGCAGCCATCTCAAGCCAGAGGACGAGAGGACTGTAGCCGCCCGTTTCATGATGACGCAAATGTTGACTAACCACATGGCATGAAATCCCTGCCCCCACTGTACAATGGAGACTATTTATAGAGCAGTTAAATTGAAGCCGCCAGGTTCTTGAAAGTGGTAAAACGGGTCAATGCTAGTGCCCTCGGGAATATACGGGGCATGTCAAGAGGTGATCTTTGATTTTTAAATCCTTTATATTAACTTCACTTGCTTGCTTGCTTACTCAAGAAAAACAGAAATGAATAATAAAATGAAACCGACACCACGCATATAAAGGATTTATAGTGAAAAACTTTGTTTTTACGGGTTAATTTTTATACCAATTGGTATATTTACAAAAAAAGGTGTTGTGTGCGGGTAAACGCTTGTCTATTGAACCAATGCCACGATCCACAGAATGTTAACATTTAGTACAGGTAGTTGTATAATGTGATAAATGTTAAGAATAAGAACATCTGCGGATGATGGCACTGAAGTATAAAGATCCACCGGTGTGCACCTTGATTTATAAACATGTTCCTTCGGAGTGGGCAGGTAGGAACTTGGTTGGACAGCACATTCGTGCACGACAGAAAACTCGCGGTCACGTGACGCACTTCAACCAATCCGGGAGCGTACATGTTTGGGAGGGGCTATGCACGACAGATAGACAGACAAATAATCCCTGGTGGGCAGCGTGGAACTGTTGTTTCTACCTGTATTAACAATTAAAGTCTGACGTCTGTTGATTTTCGTCCACGTCTTGCAGGATATCAGCGTTAGGTTTATACAGTAAAAGTGGAAAATGTATTTATTTTCCTTTCAAATGCTTGATATTATGGTTGCCCAGTCTTAATCCCTGAGGCTGTTCGGATATAATTGTGATTTGAAAAAAATCACGGCATTTTCATTTTATTCAGGAATTCAAATACGCACGCAGCCATACAAACACAACAGTGATCCGTGTTGCCAGTAGTCAGTGTTCATGCCACTGCTGCTGTGAGTCAGCTTCTTCACGTTGCATTTCTGCCAGAGGTCACAATCGGTTACCTGATACCCTACCCGATACCTGGCTACCCGTACCCGGCCGGGTACGGGTATGGGTACCCGTTTGCGACCCTGGTGCGGCCGGGTACGGATACGGGTAGGCCGTGAGTCACTGGTGAGTAACTGTTTGTCACTCATTTCCCAACGTCTTGTCTCTTCTAACAATTAAAGTTCCTAGAATCAACCCACCTGCGCCTGCAACATGGCTTCATCCCAGAGGTCGCAATCGGGTACCCGATATCCGTACCCTACCCGATACCCGGCTACCCGTACCCGGCCGGGTAGTGGGTAGCCGGGTACGGGTACCCGTTTGCGACCCTGGTGCGGCCGGGTACGGGTACGGGTAAGGAATCAAAACTCGTTTGCGACCTCTGATTTCTGCATGACGAGCGATCACTGTGCGGACACCCGGGTCTACCAATTGTGTCTACATGGGTGCACGCGTATTTGAATTCCTAAGTAAAATTAAAACGCTGTGATTTATTTAAAATCACAATTATACCCGAACAGCCTCAGGGCTTAGACTGGACAACTATTACATCAAGCATGTAAGAGGAAAATAAATGTATTTTCCAGTAAAATGTTCGTTTTCCTGTATGTTCTGTATAAACCTAACGCTGAGACACAGACAAATATCACGCTTGCTATCTTCCAGCAGAAGTCAGAGTTTAAAATTGACTAAGCGTGTGGACGTGTTCATGGCATTTATTTATTTATTGCACCACCGCCCAATACCAGTGGTGCCACTAGCCCGCTTTGGGGATAAGAAGAAATATGCTTTATTTGGGGATTTGACATCTGACGGCAACAAATATTTTATTCTGGATGAATTTCACAATTTTCTTACATCACAGTTAGGTGAAATAAGCAAGTCAATAGACTGATAACAGTAAAACAAATATTTATACTCTCATCAGAAAAATGTGCCCTTTTAGATTTGTAGGATTCGATTTCCAGCTGGAACAGTATTTGGCGCGACGCTAATTTTTTTGTCACGACTCCAGCGCCTCTTGGAGCTTCATTGGGCCCATCACTTTGTCTTGGATTTTACTCTTGCCTAGCACTACCACTGCCCCACACCTTTTCCGTTCGGAGATAAGCACGTGGCCGTGTTTGACCTTGGAGCATTTCCTGAGGGTTTTCTAAGCTCACGTTGGTCCAACGTTCACGTGGCAACCAGCGGTCAAGGGAGCACGGGTTTGTGACTAAGCGTGCGGGCGTGGAACTCTCACTAAATATGACAAGGGTTGTTAACTGGCACTTTTAGTTGCAGAAAATCTGATTATTAAAGCGGAGTGAATAAATCTTACAGTGTTTGTCAAGGTGTTCCTACATTACACACATGAATTTGTCCCATCGGTGATGTAACACTTCAATATCCCAAGCACGACATTCTTCATGACATGTATATGCACATTTTATGAGCTTTCACATCGTCGTCACTTTATACCAACTCACTTCAGTTTTTCGTTTTACATTCTTAAGCAAAAACGGTCTCCGGAGCATGAGAGACGTGTCACAAAATCATGCAGTTGAACTCAGAAATTGCAGTTATTTTATTTAAAATTTTCCTTCGTAAAAAAAAACTTCGCAATGGAACAATGTCCACCTTCCCAGAGCATGCACTGAGATTACTAAGAGTATTTGGCTACTAGAAATGTCCAAATAATGGGCCACTCTGTTGAGCTATTATTTGTGGCCAAGTCGCTTCTGAAAAATAAGTTCATACCTCAGTGGGCTTTGCCTGGTAGGATGGGGATGGTTTAGTTTCATTTGTATGTGTTTGGGTGATTTGTTTACCTGTCTTGTACTTTGCACTACCATCATGTTTTTGTACTGTTTGTTGCTGGAACGATGTTAACCGCTCCTACCGGACATCTGTGAAAAATAACTTTATCGCCCATCGGATTCCTCCAGGAGAAATAATATGATTCTGATTCTGTGTGACACACTGTTCACTGCCATCTTGGAAATACCCAGACTGCTTTGCACAGCTGTGATACCACTTCACACCAGGCAAGAAGCGGTTAATATTGTTGTGGTGGCTGTGGGTGTTAATAATGTGATTCATAACAGGTACGGAATATCTTGATTTGAAGCTTTCGTGGCTGCAGGAATCCATATTCTTTGGTAAAATTACGACCGCTTGTGTAGCGATCGAAATGTCGTGATTTGTTTAATTTTATTTTATTTCTAACTACGTGACTTTACCGAAAGAACCAAAGAGTATGGGTACGGAATATGAAACTATATACCACGAGTGTCAATATAAAACAGACCGCACCCACGTGACGTTTTATGTCCGTGGTGGACGCTACTCGTGGTGGACGCAAGTGGCATTTGCCACTCCCAGGTGACATCTCACGAACCCCCTTGGCTCTGTTTGGCACAAGAACTCCTTGAGTACTTACCGTGTACTCTGTTGTTTCCACCAGCAGGCAGCACCAGCGGCAGGTTTGAACGCGAGGAACATCCGAGAACAAACACGGCATGAAAAGACAAAGAGAAATTGCAATTATTAACATCATTGTTGCTGCTGCTGCCGCGTATGAACGTGCAATCAATTCACGGCGTTATATACACCGCAGCCGCTCCGATATAATTACATTTGTTTAACCTCTCTAGCCTCTTAATAGCGCTCGATAAATGAACACGTTACGTTGTTGTGTCGAGGCTATTTTATTGTTGCTTCAAACGAACAGCAAAGAAGGTAAACATGTCAAAATAACACGGGGAGGTGTGTGAACGCAGCAGCGAGTAGACGGTGCGTGCGTACGACGATTGGAGTGATGCCTATCGGCGGATACCTGGGAGAGATCCGATAACACGGCAAAGAGATTGGAATTAAATTACACAAGCTGCCTTACCGTACAAACAGTTCGTTGTCATCCCCCCCCCCCCCCGCTCGCACCCTCGATGAGCACGGATGGCCACGTACGGTGCGAAAGAAGTTCAACATACGTACGTAATAATTGTATGCGCCGTACAATTATTGGCGTTCGAAATATTAACCCTTCCACCAAGTGGCCAAAGTAGGTTGACGCATATATTAAGATCAAAGGGCTCGCATAAAGCGCATGCATAATGTACGTTGACTCACTAATCCCCCCTCCACTTTGCGCAAGAGTGCAGAAGAGCGGTCACCACATCTACGCCTCTATATATAAGGAACGAAACAGGTGGACTTCTCCACGAATCTGGCTGTCGCCTGATGAAGCTAGTTGTAATTACTGGCGAAACGTCGTATTCGGATTGTAAATGTTGTGGCTTGGCTCTCCAACACACCGGTGTGCTGTACTAGTACACTACACTATACACTACACTATACAATACACGACTATACACTACACTATACAATACACTATACAATACACAACTATACACTACACTACTACACTATACACTAGTGTTGTACTAGTGACAAATTGGCCACGTTCTGTTTACGTGACAACCCTTACTAGTTGGCTGTGTCGGGCGGTGGCGGGTTTAACGATACATTTATATATTTACGCGATCTAACCCAAAAACACCTCTATAATAGATTATCAATGCTGATACAGTTAGTAATTTATTTTCCCTTCACTAAATACATTCGTAAACTGTACCCATCCTCCCCCCCCTCCCAACACATCATCAGCCAGCCGAGGTCATTCCACTACTGGATAGAAGGCCTGCGCAATGCACAACCATCCCCCGCGATCCAGCGATGTCACACAATCCATCCAGCAGCTGCACACGAGCTGATTTCATCACTCTATCTCCTCCGCCATCACATGCGGAAATTATATTTTCATTTGCTGATATGGTCTAATGGAATATTTTCCACTCAGGTGGCTGTAACATGAGAACTCGCCAAAGCAACGTTGTCGTTGTAATTCGATAGACGTTGAGGTAAAAGTTAAATACGAAACGCATTTGTCACGACATTTATGAAATTCGGGCTGAAAACGAATATTCATTCTTGCAAAAAGTTGCTCGCGAAATGTGAACTCGAGGCGATGTATTTCGATTTAAAGCTTTCGTGACTGCAGGGATTCATCTTCTTGGTTCTTTCGGTAAAGTCACGTAGAATGGAAGTAATAAAATAATACAAATAAAACATCATAAAATAATTCTCACGACGTTTCGGCCACAACGCAAGCAGCCGTCCTCAGGTGAAGAAATTCATTCTTCTTGAAGAAATTCATTCTTCACCTGAGGACGGCTGCTTGCGTTGTGGCCGAAACGTCGTGAGAATTATTTTATGATGTTTTATTTTTATTATTTTATTACTTCCATTCTACGTGACTTTACCGAAAGAACCAAGAAGATCGAGTCGATGTTTTGAGCGGCGTAATAAACGGGACGAAAAGTTAATTCGTATTCCCTTCGTTGCTCTTCTCTTTATCTCTTCCTTCTTGCTGTTGCGATTTTTGCTGTCCCACTCTTGCGCATGAGAAGTCATCCTTGCCACCTTTGAGAACTCAACCGGTTAAACCAAACACGAGTAAATCTTTATACTATTGTCTTTGAAGAGCTCAACTTATTGAACACGTCCCCAAGCCCGTATCTCGTCATTCTGAACACAAACCACGGACTCAAGCGCAATTGCCCGCCGTCTTCGCCGCGAGCGCTCAACTTGCTGCCGAAAGCCTACGAGTTAAAAGTCAAATGCAGGGTTGGCTCAAGCCGAAATCGAAGTTCGCATGGTCAATAAATGTAGAACCACTTCGTGGAATGTCTGCCAGCAGTGGCTCATAGCTAAGGCTTGATGAGACTAACCACTCGGGGTTCACAGTCTCCGTGGCTCACCCGTACATGTGGAATGATAAGAGATTTGGAATGGCTGGCAGTGGATTCTCACGCAGAGACCCACTGACTCGTGCTTAAGAGATTTATGTATTTCTGAGCATACCCATTCTCCTTTCAAATACAAATTAAGTCATTACATCCTGTGCTTGCCTCATGATTGCTAAACATGTTCCACATGATGCACAGAGCACAAATTCATTTGAAACAGCCCACGCAACAATGACAAATATCCCCCGTATAGCCTCAACAGACTATTAGGGCAAGTGCTGTTGGCGAGCACCTATGAAGGCTAGCACCACACTCGGCCGCTTTTGTCCCCCTAGTGGCAATGTTTACACACCACACCAGGTACTCATTTGAGGCTGAGTCGACCTTGAGGAGGCCCAGGACGGGTTCAGATAATCGTCACTGGTTTTGGCCGTGAGTGGGAATCGAATTCGGGTCCCCGTAGCGCTAACCGCTACACTACCGCACACACACACACACATTGAAGACCTCTCCGTCTTCATTTGAATTTGGCATCTCCACATTACGTGACGTGTTTGGCAAGCATCGGCCACGTGCAGCATGTAAGAACTCAATTTGTATTTGAACAGAGGTCTGTACCGTGGTGGGTCACAAGGGATGTGATTTGGAGAAACCGCGTCCGATGGAGAGACAAGTCGCTAACCATGAGAATGGAATCGTATCTGCACGTTTGCACCGTTGCAACGAACGCTCATTTGAACGCAGGGACACTAACTTTAGACTTGAAAATGTGTTCCGTCATGACTCTGTAATCAAGAATTATAACAGTTTGCCCTCCCAGAAACCTGCCACAGCCCCCCCGCCCCCCCTCTCTCTCTCTCGAGCTGTCACCCAATTTGTATTCTCGGAAACTGAATCTAGCACGAACATGATTTGCCGAGCAGAGGGGGCACGGGGTGCGGGGGGATGGGGTTAAATATTATTTCTCAGTCGCTTGATGACTGGGAATAGTCGTCGAATGTTTGTGTGCATGTCCGAATAATTTCCGACAAAAATTTAATTGCGATATTGTTTGCCTCCTCTTTCATTCTATTTTTATTTCGCTCGCAGCGCACGCGATGTTGCCGCGATGAAAAATCCAAACATTGTTGCACCATTAGCAAAGCCAATTTATTTATTCTAAATTTTCTTACAGAGCAATTGCATGTAGCCGCTTTCTTAATTCATATTTCAAAATAATTAAAGTACCCTGATGCATAATACAATATTCATTCGTTTATTATCCCTAAGCCAAAACAAATTGGTTTCTGACAGTGTGGCATTACATGTAATACATTTAATGTAACATTTTAAATTCAGCCTCTTGCCTACATTACAGTCATTCGGCATTCAGCGGCGAGCTTCTGCAGAAATAAAAATAGCAACGCGGCTGATCCATGTAGCGCCGTCTGAAATCCCACGCAAGGTCAACCTCATCCCTGACCTGGCCAAATTTTCACAAAACCTGGATATTGCTTTTCCATTACTGAAGCGCGCCCCGGCCGTGCACTACATTATTATTGAATCAATACGTTATCGATACCGGCAGCCCCTTTCATCAGCCACAGGGGTCGAAGTGTGGTCAGGATTACGATTAGAGCAATGCTTCTGCAATGGGGGCGAAGGCAATCGTCTCAATTTTGAATGTGGGGGGGGGGGTCTAAAGCAACAGTGGAATGGGATGAAAGCGACCGTCGGCAGTCATGGTCTCGGCCTAGTTCAGGGTCGGCAAGCTGCGGCTCCGGAACTTGCTGAGGAACCGCTTTGCGACAGTTATTTATTAAGGGTCCACTGTCTCCCGTATTCATGACATGCATTGCCGCTCTTAAAACATTGAGGTTTTTTTTGACAGTTATATTGGTTGGCGACCCCTGGTCTAGTTGGTGACGACCCCGTGTAATTCTAGTCGAGCCTCGGTCTGAGGAGTTCCTCTGGCGGTTCTCTTTGTCTAAGTCGGATGATGAAGCCAAACATTTAGTCCGCTCTCTCCCCACCCATCCTCCAGAATATTATCAGGTCAGCCAATCAGTAAAAATGTAAATGCGTACGATATATCTAGCCAATTGCCATTTTTGGTCTTCCTCAATAATAATGATCATTTGAACTTGTAAGACGCCGCTGCACGGCATTCGCTCAGTCTTAAAGATAGAGAACAACTCAGAGGATGCAGGGACAAGTGGGAAAGTGAGCCATGCGGTGGGCAGGGGAAAAATTCCCTCCCCTCCAAGCTCTGTGGTCCTCTCACATGAAGGTGTTATTGGCCAATTGATGTGTGTTTACATATTGGAGGGAAACCAGAGCAGTCGAGAGGAAATGCATGCGTACGAGGGTGCAAACACGCCATCTCATACAGATGGAACAAATGTGGTCCACCTATTTGCTGTGCTGCCTTCTCCTGGCAAGCCAGAGTATGGTATCTCCTCGACACCCACGAGCTGGGAGTTTTTTCACAACACCATTTGTGCGGTGATCCACCGACACTCGCTGCCTCCACAGTGCTGGAATTACACGTCTGCATAGCCACCGCCATTTTAGTTTTCTCGTTCAAGGCCGCAGTGTTGTTGAACAATGTGTTGAGTTTGTTTCGTTCGTTTTGCTTGTGCACCACTGCCAATGCAGCAGCAGTAGCAAATAGAGGTAGAACCCCTCTTAACGACGGTAATTGGTTCCACGAAACCGGTCATTAAATGATTTGGTCGTTAAGCGAATATAGGAAACAGAAGTTAAAGGCTTAAATTCGTTCCGATAGCATCGTAAAAATTTTCATCCAAAAAGTGCACTTAATAAAAAAAATAAACAATGGGTATTAAAACATAAATATACTAAAAACATGATAAACACATACTATTAAAAGAAACATGGTTAATTAATGCATTAATTCATATTTACTGTACTTATAACAGCATGTTGTTAACAGGAGAATGGTCGGTAAGCGGACATATTGGGCTCTATGGAGGAACTACACTACTATACCCTACACTATACACTACACTATACACTACACTATTATACACTACACTACTATACACTACACTATACACTACACTATTATACACTACACTACTATACACTACACTATACACTACACTACTATACACTACTATACACTACACTACTATACACTACACTACTATACACTACACTACTATACACTACTATACACTACACTACTATACACTACACTATACACTACACATTGGGCTCTATGGAGGCCCGTCGTTAATCAATTAGTCATTCACAGGGGTGGTCGTTAAGTGGGGTTCTACTCTACAATACTATACACTACTATTCACTACACAATACATTACAGTACTATACACTACACACTACATATTGGGCTCTATAGAGACCCCGTCGTTAAGCGACTAGTCCTTCACAGGGGTGCTCAGTGTAGATGGTGCTCTGCTGTGATGACTAAATAACAGCATCAGCAATCGGATTGTCAATGCTGTCGCATGGCCTACACATGCATTGACAGCTGCTATCCTTGCATTAACCTGAGCAGCCAACAATGACCGCCCCCACACCCCCGCGCCCCATCCCCCTCCTTTTTTGTCCCGAACGCTTAAAAAAAAGAACATCCCAATGTATTTTTAGGAAAGTATTCTTGGCAAAAAATAAATGTTGAACAGACGAAAATCTTATTCAGGCACCGAATGCGCGTTAATGTCATGGAACATCTCACTGGAACCCGGCTTTTAGCATGATAATGCAAGTATCGTGCAAAGTAACTTAGCAAAGTGCCCCATGGATTTAAAAGGTTTTCATTCATTGTGGACACTCGTGAATAAAATTGGACAAACGCTAAAAGGTTTGCAAAGAAGCGTGCAGAGATGCGTACTCAGAATTCAAGTGAGAGAAAGAAAGAAAGAGGAGGTGTGTGGAGTATAGAACGTGTGGAGGTGAACACGAATTTTAAAGGAAGAGGGTTTTTGGCAGGACACATCGCGACGATGGCCGTTGGTCACCAATAATGACAGCCGAGGAAGGAAACGCGTCCGAAAGGATGCCCACAAAAGGAGAGAGATGGAGCAACGAATTCAGTTCTTGTGCAGGTGCTAGCTTCACTGTTGCATCATAGGACCGTGGGAGGACGGTGATGGCTTTGGGGAGGCCTTGACCCAGCAGCAGATTGACCACGGCCCATGGTGGAGATGATGTTTCGAACAGCGGCGTGGAGATGGCAGCGGGCACTGACCTGTGATGGTGTACGGGTAGTAGTTCCATGCCTTCTCCGTCACGTAGAATATCCTGGGCACAACCGCCTGGGCCCAGCTCGGCAATTTACTGTCAACGTACAAAGACAAAGACGCAGAGAGACAAACACACACATACACACGGATATTGCAGTTAGCCCTCCAGAAAACGGACGAAAAGCGCCGTTCGCAAGTGCCTTCTCAGGCCAGCAAAGCCATATGAGAGTGGTGGTGTGGCCAATGCCAAACGCGACCACCTTTGTCTCTCTAGTGCTGATGTTTGCAATGCTGCAGCAGGTACCCATTTAAGGCTGAGTCAACCAAGGGGAGGTCCGGGGCACACAGTATTCAGATTTCACTTGCCAGTAATGTTTGTCCACGCCTTTGGAATCGAACACAGGCTCGTGGCAAATTGCACGAATCGTTGTGCAGGTGCTACGCACATACAAAGACAGGGATCCCTTATGTAGCCTCTAGAGGCTGTTGGGGCAAGTACTGTTAGCTAAAACCTATGAGGGCCAACACAATACGTGAGGGGGTGGTGAGGCCAGGACCATGCCAATCACCATACCTGGCTGCATTTGTCTCCCCAGCGCTGATGATCACGCACCATACCTGGTACTAAATTCAAGGCTGAGTCGACCTAGGCAGGGCCCAGGACCGGTTCAGATATTCGTCAATGGTGTTCGGCGTGAGCGGGAAGCGAACTCGGGTTACCGGATTCGTAGCGCACTCCACGAAGGTCTGAGGTCCACTATTCCAGTGGCGTTGACCTGTTTCCTTTTGGCAGTTGTTTTGGCGCAAATGAGACCATGTTTGACCATTGAGACCAAATTTTGGTCAGTTCAGTAGAGGCATGCGTGCATGCATACATACACACACAAAGACAAAGATCTCCTATATAGCCTTAACAGACTGTGGAGGCAAGTGTTGTTAGCGAGCACCTATGAAGGCCGGAACGGCACGCGAGGGGGTGGGTGGCCAGCACCACACCTGGCCGCCTTTGTCTCCCCAGTGGCGATATTTACATACCACACCAGGTACCCATTTGAGGCTGAGTCGACCTAAGGGAGGAGGCCCCCAGGACTGGTTCAGATACTCGTTACCGGTGTTGGCCATGAACGGGAATCGAACTCGGGTCGCCGGCTTCGTAGGGCAGTCGCGCTAACCGCGACGCCACCGCTCCCCGCTGACGCACGTGCATAAACACACGCGTGCGTGCGCGCCTTGCACACACTGAGCAGAGTCGTACCATAAACACAAGAGTCTCGTAGAAAATTACAAACGATAATGGCGAGTGCTGTCATCCCTCCCACGTTTCGGTTTTAATTGTCCAATTTCGCTGCATTTTAGCGTTGATCTGCTACAGGATAGCCCTGGGCTCGAGCTTGCCACTGACACATATAGGTCAGAGCTGCCGAGAGCTACATGATAGGCAAAGGTTTTTTTTTGTCTCTCGCATTTATGTTCAACATTGGAATCTTTACACAAATAGATCGTTGACATTTTTGCATTGGGCCGTTTCGCCCCCCAACCACCACCCACCACCCACCACCCCCCAAGCCCACGCCCGCCACCTCCTCCACACAAAAAAAACCACCCAAATTGGCATGCAAGGTTTCACAAAGTAAGCCATTCTACGTCGACGAGAGCGTCGAAGAGAAGCGAGGGCACGCCGACTCACAAACACGCCCGACGCATCGCGAACAGCAATGGCGAACGCGTCTCCGGAGCGGCACGAGCGCTGCTCGCAAAAACAGGGGGCCCGGGGATGCGTTCTCAGCCGAGTGCCGAATATCGTGAGCGCGTGCGTTTTCGCACTTCTCATTCGACCATTGCTAAAAGGTGCGCGCCCTTTCCGCGTGGTCGCCGCGCTCCAGAAAATGTTGTTGTATTTTTGATGGAGGCGCGGAGGTGGTGGTGGGTGTGCAAGGAAAGATATTCACTGCAAGGCCCTCTCACCGCACGCTGCGGTGCTGGGGTCTTGCTTCACGACCACTGCGAACAATAACAATGCGGATTCATACGGTGTCCAAATGCCACCACATTTCAACATGGTGAAACGGAACACATTAAAATCCAACGCTTTCTCTAAATGATGAAGAAACCCGCAGAGTAACAGGGAAATGCATACGGGCTAGAAATCTTACTACAATTAAAAAAATAATCTACGCCTCCAGTTTCCTGGCTGGCTGCTGGCTGGGCTCCTCTCCACCCCAACAATGTTAGTAGCCGTGGGTCGTTACCACGGAAACCAGCTGGGTAACTGGCTTCCGTTTAACACGTAAACATTGAAACGGGGGAGGAAGTAGTTTGGAAGACAAAGGCTGTGGAATGGCTTACACAATTAAACGTAAAATTGTAGCCTGCTGATTTTTTGTCAAACACCATACGAAAGAATACGATGCACAGAATCTTGAAATGTGGTCAGAAAGTGTGAAATTCTGGTCGAGAAATAACATTTTGGATGATCCGAAAAAGCTCGCGTTTCGTATTGATCTGAAAGTACGACGTCACGGGAGATCGCATCACGTATTACATGGCGTCGGGTCATTTCACTGTTAGCACGAATACATATATTGCATCCTATAAATTATCGGACAATTTGAAGGGAAAAAAATTAAATCTGCAGTTGTCACTCAAAAATGTGAAAATCTGAAGGCCTACATTTTCATGTTTAAAATTCATCCCTGGTCTGCTTTGACCCTGGCCAGGATTTAAAATCGTGGCCTAGTGGCCTTGAGCCCACCGCTCCACCAGCCACAGACCCCCAGCTGCAAATGCGTGTTTCACATTCCAGGAATAGCATCGTTGTCAGTGCAAGTGGTAGGGCTGCATCTCGAATCAAATCAGCTGATTTGTATTTCTCCACCGCAAATCCCTTGCCCTTCCGGTGTGATAAATCGGTCTGAAAATCCAGGGGGAACTGAATCGGAATCACAACCGCTTTCCCCCCCCCTAACGCACACCGGAATTTTGCATACGGCCAAACTTGCGGCGAGGTCAATCTCTGTTGTCACCGAGGGTATTTTATCCACTAATCTCCCACGGATGTCTTCCCGATGGGTAATTGTTATTCAAAACGAACCACGCTATTTCCAGCTCAGCCTTGAGATTATGTACAAGTGAAGGAGATGCAAATAATGCCACAAAGCTGGCTTTTGTGCCGAACCTATCTCTAACAAATCTTGCTTATTTTTGATTTGTAGTTCACGATGTGCAATAATAATAATAAGGTATTGTCATTTCCCCCCCCCCCCCAATTAATTCCAATTATGCTATTAGCATCGTGCTCTTGAGATGGTGAAATAATTTTGGATCTGTCACAGAGCCCTTGTCAACCATTGCGTCGGGAAACAGCTGCAAAAGTGGTTTATTTGTTTTCTTCCCACGGGACTTCTGCCCCCAAAAAAGTCCTTCAGGTGGCTTTTGTTTCTACATATATAACCACCAATGTTTTAATTTCAGGCATTCTACTCCGATCTCGTGTCACCGTGCCTCTTTTGTCCAGCTAACGTCCTGGTGTGTTACGAGTGACAGGGTTTATAAACAAGGTGCGGTCTTGTGCCAGCTTAGCCAAAGAGAGAACCCTCACAACTCTCTCCCCCTGTTTGCTTTCATTCTTGGACTCACATCCAGAGATGATGTTTAGCTAAATAAGTAATATTAAAGAAAACTTTTTTTTAAACACGCTTTTATGAAATGTACTAGTAATGGCAGAACTCCACGACCCCAGGACGTGGCCCCGAAGCTTGCCATAACGTAAGGGACCGTGGCCAATTACAGCCAACGTCAGTTGACCGTGGACAATTAGACCCAAGCCGAAACATAACACATAAAAAATAATATTAAAAAGCATATATTTTTTAATGATAGAATATAGTATTGTCATCTGTATGACATAAGTATACCAAGTTTGCAGTCGATACCACATTGGGAAGTGGGTTAAAATTGAGTTACAAGATTTGAGGATACAACAACGACAACAACAGAGTGAGTTAAAAGAAAGCGTGTAAAAAAAATAAACATTTTAGAATGACAATTCAACACGGCGAGTGAAGGCCAAAAAAAGTATTGCCTTTTTTTTTTTAGATGACTTTTTGTTCGTATTGAAACGACAGGAGAGTTTTGATATTCATTCATGGGGAATGTCACAAGTGCTGTTCATCAACACCGTCTGCATCGCTTTTCTATTCACTTGCGCCAACAGGGAACCTGGGCCAACGCTCCATCACGGTAAAAAGATCGATCAAATGTCAAGCAGCCATTAGCAAACAGAACCCTGCCTGCGCAAAGTGGGGTCATTTACAAAATGTTGCCTACGTAGCCATCCCTGAAAGAGGGTGAAGAGATTGAATTGTGAGAGGTCCTGGGTTTGCACCGTGGTTCGGACAGCGTAAGTCCAATGGCATGGCCTCGGATTTTCACAGGCTTCGGAATGAATGTCTTGATACATGTTGCGAATACGGACTTTCAACTGCTTCGTCGTACAATACTCAATGACGCAATGCCCGATCCAGAAATACGAAGGAGACATCGTGGCGGTATTCTCAGCTCGCTACTTTTGATGTGGTCACCTGGCTTGACCACCTGAATGCGAAATTGTAATTGTCGCTCTGCATCTACATCAGCTGTACGAAAGAAAAATAAGTATAACCCGTAAAAACAAAGTTTTTCACTATAAATCCTTTATATGCGTGGCAGCTAGAGTCATCTCCTCCTCTGGCTTGAGATGGCTGCCACCTATGGGTCAGATGATTGTCTGCCAGTATTAAGCAATTGGTAATTAAATATTTAATTTGTTTTCCCTAAACAGTGTAAAATTTTGGAATGTTTTTTTCACGAACATTAATTGTCTCGCACAACGAGTCTGTGTGCAAAATGTCAGCTCGATTGGATCACGGGAAGTAAGTTAAAAAACGACCGAAAGATTTGCACGGTCGTAAGCAAGCAAGCAAGCACGCAAGCACGCAAGCAAGCAAGCGAACTTAATATAAAGGATTTAATAAAGGATTTAAGAAGAAGAATTTCTTGATCGTGTCCAATAATTGTGCGCGTAACATTTCATAATAAAACCAAACAAGTTACGGG